TTCCAATATGATTGTAAGTTTCCTGAGGCTTCCCCAGCCATGTGGAACTGTGAGTCAATTAAACCTCTTTTCTTTATAAATTACCCAGTATCAGGTATTTCTTCCTCACAGTGTGAAAACGGACCAATACAAACTTCATGCCGGAAAGACCAGTATAAATCATTTTCTCCACTCCCAGTCCTTGACACAGGTACTGTCCATAGCATCTCTGAAGAGTGGTCATCCAGTCTCTTTCCTTCCAGTCACAAAATGCTAGAGATCGCTCATGTGTCCACCTTCCTTTTAACTAAAGGTTCAGTCCCACATATGGCACTAGCCACTGTTCCAAACATAATTTTATTTGACATTCACAAAACCCCTATAAATAGTATTATAGCCGCTTTACGTAATGAATAAACTGGAAACCCTCTTTATTTCTCCTGGTGAGTTCTGCCCAGTGAACACACATAACACCAGTCTGACTTCCCTTTCACCCCAAACCCTCAGTGCTGTCAGTCGGAATCCAGTAGCGCCTTTTGGCACCAGATTTGTGCTCTTAGCACAACTTGATGAGGAGATTGCTCAATCTCCTGTGAAAGTGTGATCCATTGCCTAACAGCTGAAAGTGTCTCCTCCATTACTGGAATCAGCTGCCCAGCACTGGGATTACTGGAAAGAGCTGTTGTGATGAGAACACTTGATCACATATGTAAATTTTCTGGCGTCTTCTGAAAGGGACAGTGGGCTGCATCTGATAAAGACATGGATCCAGAAACAGTGTAACAAGAATGAGAATGGCGGGGCAGGATCCTGAGGTGGGATGTTTGGAGCAATGGTCTTGAGGTCAGGAAAGTAGAAAGGAGGAACTTTTTCACTAGAAGGGAGAAACAAGGAGAGGAAGTGGACTTTTACTAACATTCCAGACTGAGTATAAACCTGGGGAGCATGTCCAGCTGGTTGGAGAACCTGGTAGAGAACAGGAGCCCTGAGCTTGAGTTCCTTCCCCAACTCCACAGATGATTCCTTTGGGAACGTCAACCTCTTTACCGAAGCCTCATTTCTCCCACTTGTGCTTATGAATTTGGATACAACGTGTGCCTCCTCCGTCACTGGAATCAGCTGCCCATTGATGGGAAGCCTTAAAGGAATTCCATTTGCTGCTTCAATTCTGACCTCACAGACATCATTATAGAATCATTTTGGATACTCAAGAGATTACAATGCTCCAAAAAATCGCTGTTCTCAGAGCTCCTGGAAACACAAAGGTTTGATTTCAGTGTTACTAAGAGTCCTTTAATCTGATTAACCGATTATTTGTATATAGTTTGGAAGAAGGGGAAGTTCTGATTTCTGTATCTTGTCAGAACTCTCCCTTCTTCCAAACTATTTATAAGTAAGTCCTATCCAGGCAGAAAACAAGAAGTGGCAGGAAGCTAACTGACGTATAGGTGCTCTAGTCTAAATGACAAGGTTTAGAGCCACACAGCCTTACATTCCAGTCATCTGACCAGCTCTGTGTTCCTGGGTAACTCCCTTAAGCCCTCTGCGCCTTCATTTCCTCATATATATATATATATACATATATATATATATATATATGTGTGTGTGTGTGTGTGTGTGTGTGTGTGTGTGTATACACACACACACACACACACACACACATATTTAATAAGAAAGAAGAAATCTGTTCATTAGGCTGAAATTTGGGTTGGAAATGGAAGAAGGAACTAGAAGTTAGCCAACACAGAAGATTCAGATGGACTTGAGAATTTTCTTCAAATACTTAAAAGGCGGCCAAGTGGAAGATGTATCAGCTGTCTTCTCTATGGACCAATGAAAACATGTTGTAAGGAAATAGACTTCTGTCCAAAAAGTAACTTTTTAACCTTTAGAGATTTCAACACAAAGAAAAGCTGCCTTGAGAGCTAGTAAATTTCCCATCATTGGAATTACACTTATTTAAAAAGAAAAAAAAATGGTTCATCCATTGCAAAATCACTTTGCAAACCCCATTGCAAAAAAAAAAAAAAGTATTTTTGAAAAATGAGTAAATAGCCTTCTGTTTGTATCTTTTGTAAATTGCTCACGCGGTTACTTGGCACAAAATGAAAGCAGACCTCCATATTCCAAGACCGACCCATAGAAAGGGAACCAAATGGCACGTGTGATGAGTTTGAAGGGCCTTTGTATGTACCGTTCAGTGAGCCTCTGCCATCCTCAGATCTGTGTGTCAGCCCTGCACTGATGCACGTCCCTTCCTGATTTTCTACTGTCAATTGTACTACATGAAATAATCCATGGTCCACAACATCCACTTTACAGTTCGGTTTTACTGACTGAAGGAATATGTCTGCAACACCCCTATCTCTCAAGCACATTATCATCAGGTACTTTTTCAGAAGGGGAGGTGGCAAATTACTCCAAACTGCAAGAATTTCTATAAGTACACTAACATTCCTTAGTTTTTAAAGGGCATCTTTTTTTTTTTTCTTTTAAGTTGTCATTTGAATTCAAACTCTTTGGAAAACATGCATAATAATCTTAATGATCCCATTGACTAGTTTAAATTCAAATTGTGAAGCATTTGAAATACCATGCTGGCAGCACTTTCCATAAATTACTCTCAAATTCAATAGATCTCTACACACACAAACACACACACTTTTATAAGTATCACACTCAAAAATCTTTAAATTACAGTTTCTCATTGCTTGTCCCATTTATATTGTTATTTGGTGGATAAACTAGAGCTGTTGTGTCTGCTTACAAATTTCTGTATTATTTTTCAAAAAAATAATTTAGTAGCAGTCATAAATTTTTATATCTCCTCAGGGTAAATAGAACTTTGTTGCAGGGTTCCTGGCTTTGGTGTGAGTATGTGTTTGTTTGTATGTGCACATGGGTGGTTGGCAAATCAAGCCTGATTTTCTCATTTGCCTAAAATTCACTCTGTACACTGGCATTTTTAGGGAATTTCCTCACTTACCTCCCGATTTACTAGGTACACTAGCAATTTTAGGAAATGCTGCAAGACTGAACCAAAAAAGATCATTTCTGCTAGAAAGCCTATTTACCTACGATCTTTATAATGAGATCCTATCTACAGCAGGTTTGGATCAATTACACCTCCAGAATGTAATGATTAAAGGAAAGAAATATCTTTTAGACCTATGAGAGAAAAGACCCTATTTTCACTTTATTCCTAGTATCTTTCAGAAGTAAAATTTGTTCACAAAGCTTGCCAGCAAAATTTCAGCAACCAGGAACTGTATATAAATGAGCTGGGAAATATTCCATTTGTAATATAAGACCAAAATAAAGCAATACAGAATGCAGGCATCCTGCAGCAGAATTCCAAGCTTGTGCAATTCACAAATTTAATCATAACTTCCCTATGAGAAAAAAAAAATTCTCCATTATTTTGAAAACATGGGTGTTCTTTGCTACTGAACTGTACCTGAAATTCATCTTCTTCCAGTGGAAAACAGTTGGAATATTTGATTCCACTTGAAACATCAATGAAATAGTAAAAATAAGATACCTGGAAATAATGGGAATTTTTGAGGCTGATTAAAAACAATTTTGGTGTGTTAACAGCCCTTATTTAAAGTTACAATTCATTGACTTCGGAAAAGGACAATCTGTACAAGCACAACTCTCTAAATTGCAAATCGTAGTTGAGTACTAGCTGGCTAAAATAGAATATCATTACGGTTTTAAGTAAGTTCATATTTAGAAACTATCTTACTAAAAAGATATTTATTTTACTTAAGAATGATTTCTGAAAGGCTAACTCAAATGTATAAATAAAAATCTATTATATCCAAGGGCCAACAGAAAATCTCTCCAGTGTTCTGGATGTCAGAGAGAAAAAATCACCAGTATCATCATCAACAAATATTAACAGAATGCCAGTGGAGTGTGAGGACTGTGCAAGGAGCCTCCGGGGATGCAGAGAGACAAAAGACATGCCAAGACACTCATAATCTATGTGAAAAGACAGGACCCTGACATGCTTAGATAAACAGTAGCAAAATTAGCCCCTCAATCTTTTACTACCCTGTCCATCCAATCTCCAAAGACAGTGCATCGACCCATTATGGCACTTAGAATAATTCCCATTTATCTGTTTGGCTTTCTATCTCATTCAAGCAGTGAGTTTCCCAGATACTGATGATTCTCTCTTTTGCAATTTCATACCCCCAATGCCCACTACAATATTTGAAATACAGATGATGCTCAGTAAATATTTATTGGATGGATTTCAATGACTGAAGGCCATTTAGGCAGGCAACTTAGATGCAGAGGTTAAAACAAACAAACAAACAAACAAAAAACCTAGATGCATAGTTAGAAAACGGATGTCAGAGCCCTGTTTTAGTTTCTTGGCTATATGGGCTACCTTCTCTGGGCCTCAGTTCTCTCATATCTAATCTAGAAATAACACTTGCCTTGTAGGATTATTGTGAACATCAAATGAAAAACAACTATAAAAGTATTCTGGGTACACGCATTTAAGTATAAGGTATTATTATGCTAAATGATTGGTACAGGTGGTAAATGCTAAAGGATGTGTAATTAACATAGCTGGAAAGCAGGTACATAATTAAGTGAAGTTGCTTAATACCATCCAATGGTAACTCAGGGAATTGGGAGTTGTTATTCTTTCCTGAAAATGTCTGATCATTCTGTCCCATGTGAATGTACCATAAATATCAAATAATAAACTGATTGTTATATGATTTAGGAAACTCCCATGGCTCCTTTTTTATCTAGAAAACTACCGTCTTACAGGGTTTCAGTTGACTCATCTGCAAAAAGAGGAGCTTGGGTTGGAGAATCTTCAGTTTCTTCCAGTTTAAATGGCACGAGAATTGACTTCCACTCAATTCTACCAGTCAAATGAACTCAAACTGGCCAGCAGTACTTAGTGTTTCTTTCATAGCTTTTAAGGATCCACCTTATCAGAATAGGAGAGGCAGCACTAACGTGGCTTTTCCATTGGCTGTGTTTTCTTGTAGCTTCAAAACAAAGGAATTTTGGCCTTTATATTGAATTCCATTAAGATGCCATCAGAGGAAGATGACGAGTCTAAGACTATTTGATACTTTTGGAAAAAAGCCTGTTATCTTGAAGGTATTTTTTACCTCTCCCAACCCCAAATTTTCTGCAGAATAATGCACATATAATGAATGCTCAACAAATCCTTACTGAACAAGAGGCTGATTTCTTTTCGTTTGATCCTAGCAGCTAAAATAGAATTCAACATAAAAAAAAAATGTTTAGAGATTGGAACTGTTCTCTTTCATTCTTTCCCCCTTATCCATTCCTACTCTACTTTCAAGGCTTTGCTCAAATGCTGTATCCTCTGGGAGGTCTTTCTCGATGCCGATCCCCTCCTCAGGCCACCGCAGGATGCGGCACGGCCTTTCCTCCGAGCTCTCACAATTGCCCGAATCTCTCACAGATAAGTTGAATTACTTTGCCTTGTGTTATATTTGTTCATATGTCTGACACTTCTCATTCACCTCAGGGCTCCACGAGAGCATGAACTAGTCTCACGCTGCATTGTATCCCCCATAACACTGAGCACAGTCCTTTGCACACAGAAGGTGCTCATTCAATGTCTCTTACCACTGGCAAATAATTCACTTTTCAGTTAAAAATATTCAAGGGACATGTGTTTAAACACTCACTTTTCCCAAGGAAGTGGAGACAGTCATCTCCTCCCTTTCCTAAATTCCCCTTTATAGGAATTCAGAAACACCCTCGAGAAAAATCTGACAGCACAATTTCACAAAAACAATCTTCTTCATTTTCTTTTACTTTGAACTTAATTAACGGTAATGCTTAACCTGTCACTGCTTAATTACATTGGCAAGTTGGTGGGGTTTATCGATCTGTGCATGAGGAGTTAATTCCAGAAGAGACTTTGACAAAAAGCACTTTATGGGAGAACATATCGTTATTTCAGCAGCTTTGCTGGAGTAACCTGCAGACACTGCCCAGCCAGACTCAGGCCAGTTTGGCTTCCTGCCACTTGTGCCAATTTCCTAATGATCTAATAGGAATGTATAATAACCCTCTAAAAAAACAAGTCTTCCTCTCTTTTTCTCTGATCTTAAAAATGAGATGACATCTAGCAGGTTAAATGTATCCTTAAAGGAAAATGCACCTGAGTTGTACAATGTCTTCAACAGTAATAGGGCCCTACTGAATGTCTAGCAAAATTGTTTAAAGCCAACACAGCGCTCAATAAACCTTTGTTATATAACTAAACATGGGCTGGGCATGGTGCCTCACATCTGTAATCCCAGCACTTTGGGAGGCTGAGGCAGGCCGATCACGAGGTCAGGAGATCCAGACCATCCAGGCCAACATGGTGAAACCCCATCTATACTGAAAACACAAAAATTAGCTGGGCGGGTGGTGCATGCCTGTAATCCCAGCTACTGAGGAGGCTGAGGCAGGAGAATCGCTTGAACCTAGGAGGTGGGGGCTGCAGTGAGCCTAGATTGCACCACTACACTTCAGCCTGGGCGACACAGCGAGACTCTGTCTCAAAAACAAAAACAAAAAACAAAAAACAAAAACTAAGCATGTAGTTTCTATATACCTAGAAGCATAGGCTATTCTGATCTGCATTCCATCAATCAGTGCCAATTATACATTGACAGATCTATAGCCAAAAGGCCTAATTTATTGCTATGGACTAAACTGATGCTCTTTATAAATTTATATGTTGAAGCCTTAATCCCAAAGTGATAGTATGTGTAGATGGGGCCTTGAGAATTAAGCTTAGATGAGGTCATAAGGATGGGGCCCTCATGGTGGTACTAGTGACCTTATAAGAAAAGACACTTAGCGGGCTTGCTCCCTCCCCACACACACCATGTAAGGACACAGTGAGAATGTGGCTGTCTGCAAGGCAGGAAGACAGTCCTCAGCAGAACCCCACCGTGCTAACACCCTGATCTCGCACTTCCAGCCTCAATCTATAAGAAAAGAAATCTCTGTTATTGAAGGTGCTCAGTCCATGTATTTTTGTTATGGTGGTCCAGGCTGTATAATATATTCATTTTTTAAAAAATGTACTAAATACTCCCTGAAGTGAGAGGTATTGCTTTGGGTGCTATTTTCAGAAATGTGGAGTAAGATTTGGAGGTAGATAGGGGAAAAAAGACACAAAGAACAACAGGAAAAAAAAATGAGCTTGCTCCTAAGGAGCTCATAGTCTATGTATTTGGGGGTGACATTATCTACCAGTATAAAGCAGAAATGGTAAAAGGTGAAAACAAAGGCAAAGATTAAACCAAGACATAGGTGAAAGCTCTGGAAGTACGGTAGGAAGTGCTTGTCTTCAGATGGAAGGGTATAGGAAAGGAATCTCAAAACAGGTGTAACCAAACTGGGCAGACCAGAGAGATGTAACAATAAGATTTGCTGACTTTAAAAAGAAAAAAAAAAAAAGGCCTATCTGATGACAGGACATCTGTTGGCATAAATTTATTTAAGAGCAAGGTAGAAGCTAACATTCAGAGTCCAGGAGCTCAAAGTTCTATTTTAATCCTACACAAATTCCTTGTTTTCCAAACCCCCTGGTTTTCTAAGCTTTGATTTTGTTAAATTGTAAAAGGGAATAATATCAGTCTCCACTTGTCTATTGGGGGTGAAAAATGAATGAATATGTGGCACTAGGAGAAAGTAAGATCTATCATGTGACACATTGGGACAGGTCTCTTCCTCCCTGAAGACTTTCTTGTTGGATTCCTCCTTTTCCCCCCAAATCCTCCTATACCCCCTTCCACTAGTTCTTTCCTGAGGCCCCAACACATTTAGCGCGTTCCATTTTGTGGAGAAAATATGTGTACATGTGTTATGCTAAATAAACAGGATTTATTTAGATTATTGGCTTAAACTAGCATAAAATTATAGACATTGATTTTTAAAGGAATATATTTTAGAAGGTTCAATTTTATTTTTACTAACACATCTCACGAGCTTTATTAATATCAATTGCATCAAATATCTTTTAATATTATTAAAGAGTGTGTAAAGTAAAAATCACTTCTGAGGAAGATGTTTAATATCTTTTCCAAAATGACAGATATAATTAAAAAGTCATCACAGATGTGTGTTTGTGATTTTAAGGTTGCTTAAATAGTCCTCAGTGCAGCCATCCAATTGCAACATTCCAAGCAAGGCATTCCTTGCTCTTATCATCTTATTTCCTCATACTATAAATGTAGGAGACTGAATTTTAAAAAATATAATATATATATATATATATTATTTGAAGACCTACATAATACCAGGCCCTTGTTACTGTGAAGTATTCAAAAAAAGCACCTGTCTTGCTATAATGATGATGTCAGCCTTGGCTGGCATCCCCTTACTCTGCAGGGACAAAAGCAAAAAAAAGATCCAGGCAGTAGACTTTATTTATTCATTTCCTTATTTTAAGGAAGCCCTGGCTGTGGGAAGGAATTACCGTGTCCCATTCAAAGTCATGGGAATATCAGAGAACTTCCACTCAAACTCTTTGGCAGTTTTCGTGGGCAAGTCTGTGTGTTTGACCTTGAGTGCAGAAGCTCTTATGAGCATTCTACGGCCGGAAGCTAGACAGCTGGCTTCACTCTCACATCCTTCCCTTCAATCTTTGATATTTACATTTCAGCAATGACTCTGTTCATAGTCTCTCAGAGCCAAGTTCTCCTCCTTCCTTCTTATACATACATAGTCTCAGGTCCTAGGTGCACCAAGGGGCAAGCAAAGGGTATGTGAGTCAATGACTGTGGGGAGACACAGTGCTAGAGTGACACAGGTCCCCCCAAGTCCCCCTCACTATCGGAGCAGCAATAGGTTCACCTATTATGATAAACACTGCAGAAAAGACAAAGACGAATTAAAGGTGACCTCCCCCTACCCCACACAGTCTTCAAGGGGTTCCTATCAGTAGAGGACTGTGTCAAGGATGCCAGTGACTTTATAATACCAGTTGTGGTGAGAATCAATTCTACGAGAGATGTGGAAATGAAAACCTTGCACGTTCAGAAAAGGTTACAGCTAGTTGGTTAAGCTCCAGGAAAGCATTTTAAGGCTGGTTGATAACGATTGTTAAAGGATGGAGATGGGAAAAGGCAGAAGGCAGGCAACCAATGGCATAGACAGAGAAACCTCAGATACCAATGTCCAGGAGAAGAGTCCTCACTTTGGGTAAGCATTGTAAATAGAATGTGTAGGAGAGCTGATGGGAGATAAGAATGGAAACATATTTTGGGGCCAATTTTTGCATGAGCTTGACTGGAAGTACAGACCAGTGGATTTCAAACTTGACTGTGCATAAGAATTTACCCCCCAACTCCCTGCTGTCCCAGGAGCCTTGCAAAAGAGGCAAAGTTCCTGTCTCCCTGTGCAGAAATTCTGGGGAGGAGTCCAGAACTTTACTTTTTAATGAGGAGTTCACAGTGATTCCAAAGTCTCATGACTTGCCATGTCTTAGACTCCATAAGTTCTCAAACCAAGTGGTGTGCAGGTGATATTCCGAGCCTGAAATGCTGACTTACAGTTGTCCTTTGGTGATTCAAGTTAGGCAAAATTCTCCCTTGCAGATTTTTATGTGTCTAACTGGGCCTAAGCCCTGGTACAGTTATTTACTACTCAAAGCCCCCACACTGATTTTTGTTCAGCCCTGTCCCCTCCGTTTCACCCTATAACCAACCATGTGAGGTAAGAAACAGTGCTTTCATTCAAGTGCCTCTTTCTTTCTTTCTCTTTCTTTTCTTTCCCTTCTTTCTTTCCCTTCCTCTTCTTCCTTTCTTTCTCTCTTTCTTCCTTTGTGTTTTTTTTTTTTTTTTTTTAGATGGTGTTTCACTCTCTCGCCCAGGCTGGAGTGCAGTGGTGTAATCCCAGCTCACTGCAACCTCCGCCTCCCGGGTTCAAGTGATTCTCCTGCCTCAGTCTCCTGAGTAGCTGGGATTACAGGCATGTGCCACCACACTCAGCTAATTTTTGTATTTTTAGTAGAGATGGGGTTTCACTATGTTAGCCAGGCTGGTCTCGAACTCCTGACCTCAAGTGATCTGCCCTCCTCGGCCTCCCAACGTGCTGGGATCACAGGCATGAGCTACTGTGCCCGGCCTCTTTTTATTTTATTTTATTTTAGTTTTTTTGATAAGATGACAAATGAATTTATTCCTT